ATATAGACTTTATCTGTTATATAGTTAAAACTAAGCTTGGCTTCACAATTCTCATACATGATTTTGTGCTTTAATAAAACACTTGTTTCCCCAGCAATCTCCTCATGTAAACCATCATGAGCCAAATATCTTCAATACACTTAAGTAGAAGAAGATGATTTATATCTTTTGAATAATGCAACCTAACTATTAAACAGATGCTTAAAAGGACAGGGTTAAGTGGAGAAACAATCCTTCATGTTATATCATTAAGGAATATCAGATTAAAGCCAGTCATAACTACTAATCAACTGATATAAGGTTCCAATCAACACAAAATCCATTAGCTGGCAGAGTGGCCTTGACAATTCTATCAGGCCACTGTAGCATCCCAAAATGTTATTACTGTGGCATTAAATAAGTTATGTCTCAGAAAAAATCCATGCCATTTCTGTATCCATCTGCCTGATGCATTTAAATCAAGTATTTGCATATATTAAATTTATCTTTCTCATTGCAGGATTCCTGATAATACATTTCCAGCACTGGTGATAGCCAGAAAAATGAACTATTTATCATACAATGTGGAAAGACAAAGCACAACAGAACAATAAATCAAACATCAAAGAACTGACACTGAAATAACAGGAGAGTTTGAATAGTGTCCTCCTTTAGCACACATTTTCAACCTGTGACCTGTTTATTAATTTGGGTACATCCAACATTTTCAAGGGGTACATTTGCTTTTCGAGTTTTTCCTACAAATAATATTTATTTTCATGTATTTGCCTATAAATCTTATGCAAAACAAACTAGATAGCTGTAAGTAATTATGACAATAGAATGGGAATTCTCAAAAGACATTTACGTAGGAACCTCACTGGTCTCCTCCCTGTAAACTGCAGTATATCCCCTTGTACTTACCTTAGACTGAGGGCCAGCTGGTCCAGAAATCATAGCACTCCAATCCTCTTTTCAATTGAAAGTCCTTGTAGTATTGTGTATGGGCAGCTTATTCTTCCTAAGATTAGAAAAGCTGTCATTTTGCAGCTTTGCTTCCTGCATTACAAGGTCCTTATAACTTCATCTGCTGAGAAAAGGACCAGAGAAATACCAGCTCCTGAACTGCCATATAAAGGGGTATTATTAGCATTGGGCGGGGCAGTTAAGAATAAAGTGTATTTAAACTTTTGAGCAACCTCACTATATGTTTATTATGTGTTTCCATTCACACAGTATACCTATTTTCTTTTATATTGCTTACCTTTTAGGTGATTGAACAGTACTGACTGGCATATTCAAGGCTTTGGATATATTTTTATATCCTTTTCCATCTTCATAAAGTTCCATTACCTTGTTACACAGGTCTTTTAACAGTTCTTCTCTGCTCCCCATGGCTCAGTATCTAGCCTACTTAGTGCATCCAGGTGAGAAATTCATTGACGATTTATACACATAACAAAATGTGTGAAATTAACTTTTAATTTCCATTTTACCCTGTGTGTCACCTTGTGTGTCTGTACAAACATTCCAGGATATGTAAACTTTTGATCTAGGCCATTTGAGTGATTTCTGTTATTATGATATAAAAAGGAGCCAGACAATTTAAAAAGCCAGAGACATGGGAAATTAACCTTGGGTTGCCATTTTAACATGTGTGTGTGTCACCTTGTGTATCTGTACCAAGGACAAACATTCCAGGGTATGTAAACTTTTGATCATGCCCATCTGGGTGATTTCTGTTATCATTATGATTTAAAAAGGAGCCAAAAAAATATGTGATAATACATGGCTTCATATGATCACTATCTTTAAATAAAACACAGTTTTTGGCATGATCGGTCATTTTAAATATCAATGCCAAAATGTCACCATTTCTGCCAGGGTATGCAAACTTTTGAGCACAACTGTATAACATTTAGCACAGGCAGAGTGCACAGGCAATGATCTGCTAAAGAAGTTTATGTTAGAAAGAGTGGGTATTTTATTGGAGCAGAAACAATCTAACAAAATATTCTAACAGTAAATTTTAACAGACCAAAAGGGACCAAAATAAGGGTCTGGTTAATAAGGTTTACGTACCCTTTAAAATAGCTGTCACATAAAGGGGGGATGTTTGTTATACTTTATATGTCTACACTATTTATATAAATGTTAAATACCACTGTTCTACAACTGTGGATGTAAATTACTGCTATTACACTAATTCAGCAACAAAGCTGGATTGTGGGCAACTTGTGGTGCCTATTTTAGTCTTTACCCTTGTGTCCCTGTGGAATTCCTTTAGACCTGGTTCACACTAAAGCGATGTGGGAAACGCAGCGATTCCTGTGGATTTCCCGCACCACATTGCAATCGCACAGCATCCATGCAATCTGGTGCGGGTGTCAATGTTAAATTAATGACACCCCAAAACAGATTGCAAAAACGCAGTGTGATTGCCAGAAATCAGATCGCATGGGTGATCTGAACATTTTGATGCAGATGCGATTTGAGCCATACAAAATATATGGCTCAAGCACACCGCCCCGCACAGACATTGCATGTGATATAAAGAAGAAAAGAATGAAAAATCTCCTGCGCTCAAAGGACCGGATATGGCATATGTGGGAGGATCTTCATAAACCTTAGCATTCAAACCAATATGGCAGTACTGTGCAGCCCACTAAGGGTAGCCTAATATGTACTACAAAATAAGAAAGAAAAGGGGTGCTCAAACCTTGCACATTACCTCAATAAAAACTTTAATAGTAAAAAATAGCAGATGTATACTCACAAACGACAAATGTAAACAGGCATATCATGACCGACAATGGTCCATGGTCTGAAAAGGTGCACGAGTCCCCACATGTGAAATGGACACTTAGAAATGGCTTGCGATTGGGACCTTTTCTGCACATGTGACCTCCGTGACATGGAATAATGGTGGTCACATGACCCTAAAACCCCACCCTGCCTCCGGGCGTCTGAAACCTCTTAAAGGGCCGGGAGGCACCGGTGTGAAGAGGTTAAGCTTTCTGTTAGTTTCCTGACTATTATTGCTGATGCTGACCAAGAGTTGCTACACACACAGCCCAGTCTTTTCCTTCGGATGCCTTTCACTCGGTGATGGCATTTAATCATGGGGCAAGTTACAACTAATCTCCATTATAGAGTGAAATGCATCAGAGAGACGAGTATATACAGTGTATATATTGACTCTCAATCAAAAGAGTTTATTCAAAACAGTGTACCCAGGATGTCGCTCCCTAGATGTTTTTATACATGTGTTAGGAGCCAAAATGAGTGGAGATGGGCATGCACATAACCCTAAAAAAAAGCAAATGGTACAGAGACTTTGAGCAAACCAGTATTTATGCGTTGCCAGAACTTCAGAATGGTGGCTCTTTTAGAAACTGGTTAATTCTCAATTAAAAGGAATTTATCTGGACAGACATATGGAATTTTCCATGTCTGACTTGTTTATGCAGGAACATAGTTCAGGGAAAGATTTCCTGATGTCTTATAGGTACAGGCTTGTTTTGGATCAGTGACTCACTAAAACTGGCCATACATGGATTGAAATTTGGCCAGTTCAGCAGGTACTGCTACAGGCAGTTCGATCCATGTGTGGCCACTGTGGTTGAACAAAAGTTGACCTACTGATCGGACCCGATGTTTGGACGAAAAAAACTGACCCATGCATGACCAGCTTAAGTAGTGAAGTATAAGGAAAACTACCCAGAGCACGAACTTTCAAACAAGTCATTAATGCCAGTTCCCATATTTATCTCATGTTTTCTTTAACACTCAGGTACAGTTATGGCCAGTGGATGACTAAGAAAACAATCTACAGTTCTACCTTAAATTTTCATTCAAGCTGGCATATGCATATTTTCTGCAAGGAATGCAATGCAGTATACATGCATACATCGTAAAATCTGCAGATATGCATAGCCCCAGATGCAGTTATGTCCTACCTTTTTTTTTACACCTCTAAACATGGTGCACATTTTCATTTATAGACAGAGCTGTGTGTGTATGGCCCTATTGATTCCTAGAGTGCTGAATGCATACAAAACTAAACACTTCTAAACATGTCATTTTAAATGCCCATGTAAAAAAGCCCCAACTGTTTTGGTCATTGCAATATTCAGGTTAAGCTTGAAAATACATGTATTAAAGTATTCAAAGTTTGCTTAGCGTTCATTTTGAAGAAACATGAAAGGATTGTACTTTTTTTGTTTATGTTGTCAAGGACTATGCAGATGCGGTAATGTTTGCAGAATATTTCCAGTTACTGTACATACATACAGAGACAAAAAGGTATAAACCTTTTTTTTTTACAAATATTTACTTTGAGCTAGCTGTTCAATCAGATCACCTGTATAAAACATTTTATAATCTACAAATAACTGAATGAATAATGTATTGCTGCTGAAATTTCTGAATAATGTATACTTTTTTATTTTCAAGACCTCTACATCCTTGTTGCTAAGACTACAGTCTAGTAAATTAATCGACAAAACAACAAGAATTCTTAAAGAGTATCCATAGTTATTTTTTTTTAGCTTTGAATAGAATTGGTGAGTTGGTGAAATTTATTGCCCAATAACAGGATTAATGTATCACTTACGGTATTAACCACTTGCCCTCCAGAGGATTTACCCCCCTTCCTGACCAGGCCATTTCTTGTGATATGGTGCTGTGTTATTGCGTGGTCATGCAATGCTGTACATAAATTAAATTTATGTCCTTTTTTCCCACAAATAGAGATTTCTTTGGGTGGTATTTGATCACCTGTGCGGTTTTTATTTTTTGTGCTATAAACAAAAAAAGACTGACAGTATTTGTGACTTTTTGCTATTAAACACATCCAGTAATAAAATTTTAAAAATAAAATTTCGTCATAAATTTAGGCCAAAATGTATTCTGCCACATGTCTTTGCTAAAAAAATCCCAATACATGGAAATTAATTGGTTTACTTGAAGGTTATATACTTAAATTTTTATATACTAGTAATGGCGGCAATCAGCGACTTATAGTGGGACTGCGGCGGGCATTCTGACACTGGTTGGGAACTGACGAACTGCCACTGACATCCCAATGACACTAATACAGTGATCAGTGCTAATAAAAAGCACTGACGCTGTACTAATGAAACTGGGCAGGAAGGGGTTAACATCTGGGGTGATCAAAGGGTTAACTGTGTGCTGTTTAACATAATGTGCTGTGTGTGTATTTTACTAGGGAAACATGCTGATGTGTATTTCTCTGCTGTGCAGAGAAATACACAGCAGCATGTTACTGCTGGCAGGAGAGAAACTTGTGTTGTTTACACACAGGTCTCTCCCCTGTCAGTGATACTTGGCGATTGCCAGGTGCCAGCAGGGAATCTCTGGCCAGGACCCGGTGATTGACATCTGTAGCCACCAATGGCAGCGCGGGTAGGGCAGCTAGTGCCCCTTACTTGGAAATGCAAATCACGTATATATATATATATACACACGTTATTTTGCGCAGCCCTGCCATCCTGTAGCAGTATTTCTGCTATTGGGCAGCGGGTAAGCGGTTAATAACATTTTGGTAACAATATTGTGTCTTAAAACACATAGTGGTTTATTAGGAAAGACTGGATAAAGGAGAAGACAAAAGAGAAAAAGGTAAGTTTCCAAAATCAGTGTGAAAGGCTGTGCAACCTCATTGCAGCCTCACACTTGCAATTTTTAAGAATAAGGGGTTTAAGATTTACTAAAGGTGAATATGCTATTCACTTATTCAGCTGAATTTTCCCCAAAGCTTAGTTAATGAAGTGTAATTTCACTCTGCAAAGAATACCCAATTATGTGCAAGGAAAATAAAAAAGCATTGTTTTTGCACATGATTGGATGATGGAGTTCAGTAGAGCTTCACCTTATTAAGTAAGCTTTGGGGAAATTTACAAATGCAGCTTTCCTTTCAAAGTGAGCGGCATTTTTTTATTTTGTAGGTCTGAGAATGCCTAAGAGCCAGCACACATTATGGTTGATTTACTAAAGGCAAATACACTGTTCACTTTGCATTTTGCAAGGGAATGTTTGGCCATTGTTCAATCATGTGCAGGCAAAAATGCTGTTTTTTATTTTCTTGGGTATTCTTTGTAAAGCAAAATTCCACCATATTCACTGAGCTTTCCCTTGCAGAGTGAATGGTCTATTTGCCCTAATAAATCAACCTTATTGTGAGAAATGTTTTACCTAAAATAAAGGTATGCTGTACAATTCCGGGTGGAATTCAGAGGGAACAACCCATCCAGAGCTGAATGTCCAAAGGCTGAACTGTAAAATAATTATGATTCTCTAACTTATAGGGCATGCTGAGATTTGTAGTTCCTTCAACAACTGCATGAGGACACTTGTATATCATTATAGTATCACTGATAAATTTATCATTTACTTGTGTGTTTATGAGTAAACACCAGTGCTGGCCTGTCAGAGCCAGCAAGGCTTTTTTCTGCTGGCCTAAACACTGCCTAAACTATAAGAATCACTGACTTATGTTTTTTCCATAACTGTGTTATTCCCAATAGCCTATTCCAGGGTTTCTCAGCCAGGGTTCCAGTGAACCATAGGGTTCCTCCTGAGGTTGCTAGGGGTTCCATAAGCAATGATCAATTTCTACCTCTGAAATAAGTTCTCACAGACACCAATGATCTATTTAGCTATCTGTAAGTGGGTAATTCTTCCTAATGACCATAGTTGTAAGGACCATCCTTATGACCATCACACTAATGTATCATGAGCTGTAGATGTAGTAATTTTTAGCAGGGGTTCCCCAAGACCAGAAAGTTATTACAAGCGTTCCTCTGTATTGAAATGGTTGAGGAAGGCTGGTCTATTATCTTCATTTCATAGCTTTTCTATTGGATTTGCTGCTTCCAGTAGTGTGAGAGCTTTTTTCCAAACGTATTTCATCCATGATAGCCATCATGTGTTTCCAGGGTCAAGGAAGTCTACCATGAGGCCTTTAAAAATCAAAAGCGTGGGTGCCTGTAGTTTACAGTAAATGACAAAATGAAATTGTTGTTTTAACTAATCAGACTTTGAGTTGAGACACCAGGGCCATCAAGCAGGTGTGCATTCCTTCTTGAGGAAAGAAAGGAGAATGAATTTTGTGTACAAATAATCAGTAGTTTTGGTGAGTATAATGCATTTATTTTTTATACAGTCAATGCTGGCTAATCCAGGTCCCAGTTTTACCCTGCTGAATTTTTAAGGTTACAATCTTCAGGCACTGAAGGCCTAGGTGTGAAATGCACAGCCTGTCCCTGGTAAACAAAATGGGAAAATTGACACCCTAGATGAACACACATCTTACTTAAGATTTTCCATGCTTGTCTCTAAGAATGTTGGTCAATTTTTAATTAATCAAACAAGAATCAGCTTGACTTTGACCTGCCCAAAAGCAAGGCAAAGGATATTTGAGCCTTTGCCACAGTCTGTTTAATAGCAAGAAAAATGTCAACAGTTTAAGAGCATACTAATTGACCTTGGAAATGTAATAATAAAAAAGAGCTTCAAGGAAGACACAATAAATTGTTATGAAATGAATGAACTAGGCATTTAAAATCCCTCATTATATTTTGTGATAGACAAAGAAAAAATAACAGAACCGTGACATAGAAACAGAGACTGAGAACTGATCTAGTTCAACATAATAAAATGCTAAACATGCTGAAAATGTTCAGTGATTTTATCTGCATAAACACTGCATGGACAGTCATTGGTTTAGTCTTTGTGACTTTCCTATGTGCTGTGATGTGCCGCACAAAATACCATACTTAAATCAGAATAAACAGACTCACTCAATAAAGTAGACTTCTCCTTTCTCTCCGTGTACGCCATCTCCCAATTATCAGGCAAGGACCCCAGCTCATCATTGTCATCAGGCTTCAGCTGTTTCTTGAGCTCCGTGCTTTCTTTAGACTCTGTGTCTGGCTGGCAGTACAATGGGGTGGTATAAGGCTGGGATGAAATCTCACCTGAGGCATCTGTACTCTTGTCTTCATGTTCACTTGATTCTACACGAGACGTACAAATACACATTAATCACCGTTGTCCTTCAATGTGCTTCTGAGCATTTTAAAGTACAGAAGAGCTTCTCTAGTCAAGCCATCAGAGATGCACTTAACAGTAAACACATTCAGGGTCATTTTACACATTGCAGAAGCCATATGCAATTTACATATATATAATATTATTTAGCTTACATGGCTGGCTATACAAGAAGTAAATAAAAACTGCATTGGTTAACATTCGGTTTTTAATGAGAAAAAAAAAATAGTCAATTACCTAATTTGGGATTCAGTTACATCTACAATAAATATGCAATTTTTAAGAGTTTTGTAGACAAAACAATAAATTATAGAATAATTATTTTATTCTACAAATGCCATTTTTTTGTCAGATTGGTGGCTTTTGGACACCACTGATAATTCCTAATGAAGGCATGTTGGCACTGTGCAAACTAAAATGGTCTTTAGTTTGAATTTACACCTTTAACTTACTTTGTTAATATACTTTACACACTGCCTTTGCACATGCACTGCCTTACTGGGTAAGTCCAAATAAATATATTTCTTTAAGACTTGAGATGCTAAATAAATAAAAAAATATAATATTAAATTAGTTGAAACTGTTTTCACAACAAGCACATACACAGGGCCATAGTCAAAGGCAGTCGTTGACATGTGTATGCAGCACAGCTCAAACACATGCACTTGAAGGCAAGCAATGCATTTTACCTGCTTGCCAGCAATGTAAATGTCAGCTCAAACACCCCCAATTTCCTGTTTGCCATATTATGTACCATATACTCTAATCTTTCATGAAGTTTACTTAATATGGACATTTTCTAAATTTTTACAGGGTCCATGAAAAGACAATTCAACAGAATTGAATCGCCTCCTCCTGTCAGGATCTGGATCACCTACTGGTGGCACTGCGGTACCCAGAGCTGAAGGGTTCAGTTCCACCAGTGGGTGTCTCCAAGCAGCCAGCACATCCCAGTAATTAGGCACCACCTGATGCTGGCTGCTGGGAAGGTATACCCCTTCCTTGACTTTTTATCAGTTCTTCAGTGTTTTGCCTCTTAGCCATATACCCGCTTGCTTATTATCCTGATCCCTGCCTTATCCTGTACATGGCATCTCCCTGTATCCTATTACCCCATCTCTGCTCCCGTTGTTCCCAGTCCTGGTCATGCCCTGCTTCTGTTAGCTTTCCTCACTTTGCATACAATGCATTATATAGTAGTTAGGGTGTTCCGTTTATGGTTTGTTGGTGTTGGATAGGTGTTGCGTGCATTAATAAACTTTATTTTATTCACACTCAGTTTGATTCCAGTTTATTAAGTACAACTACACTGAACTGCTCAACTCGCTGCCGTTAAATACCTGTATTTGGCATTGCTTACACCTCCATAAATTATGCCAGTCTGGAGCACTAAGGATACTGTCAGGCAAACTCATAAAAAATAGTTTTGGCATAGCATTTGGCAAATGCTATACAAGTGCCCTCCCCCCCCCCCCAAAAAAAAAAAGGAATCTCTATGAAATCACCAAGCTTGAATTCCCCAAGGGACCAAGTGCAAAGAGCACTCAGTCCCTTTCTGATAAATGCTTGTGGTTGTGCAATAAATGAACATCATTGTTTCTGTTTATGCTGGTTGTGGCTGCAGGCCAAAATAAGGACATTCTGTGGGAGAGGTATAGCCAGCACTGACGCCACCACCCCTTCTCTGTGTGCTGTGTGTTTCCTATTCTGAGTAACATGTCTATAAGTAGGTAATCCAGAACAACAGCTTGTCCCAGCTCCTACAGGTCCTTCAAGTTAGGTGGGTTGCGATGGTATAGAAAAGTCATGCCCCACAGGTTCTCAATTGATTGAGATCTGGACTTTGACTAGGCTATTCCAAAATGTTTACTTGAAATAAGAAAAACATAAAGAAAAAAAAGAAAAAAAGGACTAGTTGGCTGACCATGAGATATGAATTATTTACCAAAATACACCTCCTGCAGCTTCTCCTAATCAAATGTCAAACTTTGCAGACCACCTTTTTCATAAATTTGTCTTGTGAAGGTATTCACTCCCTTAGTGTTTTTCTGTTTTTGTCTTAGTGGTTTTGTGTCACAATAAAAATATTTTTCACCTTCACAAGCAATAAAAAAAAAAAATTGAGTCTAGGTTGTAATGCAACAGAACAGAAAAAGCACCAATGGGGGAAAACTTTTGCAAGGCACTGCATACTTGTGGCTTCAATTTTCTATTCCTCAGAGAGGTAATGTTATATACAAAGCCAAGAGATTGCAGAGTCCGCAATATGGTGATATCATCACTACAGATAGCATTTAAATTTTGTTATCCCCTTACATTAAAA